GAATATCTTCAAAAGATTGATCCTAAGTCAGATGGTGCAAAGAGAGACTGGGTTGCCATTTATGATGAATGTGCTAGCGTGCTATATCAGGTACTTGTATTCTTCAGTTGCCTAATGTTCTTCTAGTTTGGGAATTTGGATAACAATTCACCATCATGCTTTTCAGTTACTTGCACAAAACTGCATTTTGTTAAGTATATAAAATTTAGTCCTGCACATTTACAGTAGAAGGTTTTGCATTTGAGTTTTCAAGTTTTTTCCACAAAAGCATACTATAAGGTTCGGCTAAAGTAAATTAAAGTTGTTTGGTCACTTGAGAAAGATCTGGGAAAGACCAAAAGGAGCAAGACTTCTGATTGTGCCAAAAGATATAACTATTTCTGGTATTTGAACCTTTTAGGTATCGAGCTTCTAAAAGGAATAACAAGTTGGGTTCTAAATTACGTTTTTTGCTGGCTAAGGGAAGCTATTGGAAAACAAAACATGAGAGGTGATTATATGAAAATAGGCTCCTGGGATGTGTTACTTGGATATGGCCCTGTCCTTGAACTGTTTTGATTTACTGCTAAAAGAAGAGTACGATAAAGGAAAATGAGGAACCAAATATCCAGTTGAAGTGAAGGTAAAAATATATACTGCTTGTGTTCCTCAAGGAAGAAAGAATTGATGGTCAGAAGATATTCTGCTTGTGTTACTCCAAGAAAAGAGTATTATGCTTGTGAAAGGGTAAATACATGGTTCAAACCTGTCTTTTAGTGGGGTAAGTACGCAATGGGAATTGTATTTGGAAAGAAGAAAGATTAGAACATGATAAAGGAGGACACAAATGACTAAGGCCACATGGTTAAAAGGAGGATATCTTTAATTGAACTGTGAAAGTTAGAATATTGATTAACCACTATGTAGAGGAATCTTTTGATGTTTCTAAAACCTCCTAATATTAGTAGAGTGATTCTCTAAGGAGGAAGGCTTCCCTTTTGTTCAAATATAGAATTGGATTTTGTTGCTACCCAATTGGCATTGAATTATTTCATGAAATTGTGGCATTGAACATAAATCTATTGGTAGAAAGGATATCATGGTGACTGCTATTGATGTAGGACAAATTAGGGTTGATTTACCCACTTAGGCATTTGGAGAAGACGTAGACATCATACCTAGTGTTTCTTAGGTATCACACATCACACAATCAGTTATTGAAAAATTCTCAAGGTATTTTATGGATAATTGAATAACAATCTTAGAGAAGACTATAAAAGGTATGTGCAGAGTGCCATGTAATCTATTCTCAGGTAGGATTAGTTTAAAAAATACTAATACAAGTAAGATTAGGCAAAGATAGCAAAACAAAATATCATTAAAATAGGAAATATAAAAATAACCTGAACAGTTTCTTAAATGGTAAGATATTACTGTGCCTATGCGCCATCGATATTCTAGATGGAAAAAACTCGACTCTATTGAATTGAAAACATAGAATGTAGCATACATGATAGGTTTGAGCTCCTTGAGGTCAACTTTTGTGATCTAAGTGCAATAAGTTTGAGGAGATCCCTTCCAATTTACTAGAAATTTGTGATAAGTACCAGTTCTTTTAGTTATTTTTTATTGTAAAAAATATCTTCTATCTTGTCCATGAGGTTTGTAGTGACTAGTAAGTGAATAGGAGCATTATCATGAGAAACAGTAGCATAATAATATCCTTGAAATGAAGTCAAATCTTCACTATTAAAGACATTATTTGTACCTGTATCTTTTGGAAAATTAAGAACATAAGCTTTCGAACTAATCTTCTTAAGAATTTTGGAAGGATCAATTTTTTTCGAGTTAAGTTTTTCTAAGCTTGCTCTAGAAACCTTCCCGGTTTCTTATTTTTAAACGAGGAATTGATTTAAGTCAACAAAGGTTTTATATGACCTTCATAACCTAAATCAATTCCTCGTTTAATCTCAATATATATGTTATTAATATGTTTAGCAAAGTCTTCCACCTGAGCGCTAGGATGAGCATCCAGAGGCAAAGAAACCAAAGCAATAGCTTTCTTGGTTGTACGCCTATAATGCATTTAAAGTGATAATCTTCAAGGAAATTATAGAGGTACTTATAGAGCGACAAGTAATCCTTTCCTGAGTAGGACTAGAGTAAGAAATATTAATACTAATGAGATTAGAAATAACACTCTGATAGGATAACAAAAATATAAATAAACTGGCAAATATAAAAAAGACTAAATAATATAGTTCTTAAATAGTAAATAATACTATGCGTTTGCAGTGTTAGGTGTTTTATCAGTGAGGATGCTAAGAGTTTTGCCATCCAATAAGGTGATTATATCACCAACATGTTCTGCCAGATCAATGGATGAAATAAAAGATGAGCTAGAAAACAATGGACAAATAAACTAAAATCTTGGTTCTCGAGTGATAGATAATTAAAGCATATTATTAACAAGCTTTTGTGTCTATTATACATTAATATTTGAAATTTTTCAGGAGATTGATTACACAAAGGAGGCTGCTAATGCAGAACTATTTGCTTCCAACTTCAAAGATATGGATTACATAAAAGTTCCAATGATATTTTGGGAATACACTACACCACAGGTTTAACCTTTTAGTAACCATACAAGAACTTCATATCCTTTTTTACTTCTGAAGAAAGAACAGAAAATGGAATGTTAGATAGAAGCTCCAGCATCCTCGTTGATAAATGAATTTCTTTGTAGGTCCTGACAATGGAGTATGTCCCAGGGATCAAAATAAATAGAATACAAGCTTTAGATCAGTTAGGTGTTGATCGCAAAAGGTACGATAATTTAACCTCAGGACCTAATTAAAGTATTTTAGCTTATTATCAGGCTTTGAACACATGTTTTTCAAAGTCAGAATCGACTAAAATGCTTGACATCTGTTATGTCTTCATTAATGAAAAGCAAAATGTTCATGTTGGTGGTATCATGCAGGTTGGGTCGATATGCTGTTGAATCTTACTTGGAACAAATTCTCTCTCATGGTTTCTTTCATGCTGACCCTGTGAGTTTTCTAATGTCATTTGCTTTTAGTGGTAAAAATCTGGAAATTGCTGACTGTAGACGTTTTTTTGATAAATTTCTGGAAGTGGAAACTTAAATAGAAAGAAAATCTTATTGTGGTTTCATATCTCTGAAAACATGTCATTGATGGATGTATATTTTATGTCTTCAATGAGTCAGGGAGACAGAAGAAAACTCTATCAGACTCTAGAAAGGCTAAATTATTGGTTTATATCTAAAACTAAAAATGTAAGATAGCGAACTTTTTCTGCTTGTGGCATTACTGTCTTGATACTCTGGAATATTTCCATAGTTTAATGGATCAGAAGTTTGATAACTTTTTAACCATAGGTGGCCAGAAATGAAACTTCTCATTTAAGGTTTGAGGGATATCCATATGAGATAAATGACAATATAACTCTTGGCTTCTTTTTGTCTGAGAGATTGCTTGCTTTAGTTTGTTTTGTTAAATGGAAAGCTTATATGTTAGGTCTTGCAACAATGTTTTTCAAAAGCTGGTAAAGGTAGCTGCCTAATCCCATATTTCTAATAACGTAAAGTTATCCAACCACCCTAAGACAAATACTTTTTGTCTTCTGTAGCATCCTGGAAATATTGCTGTTGATGATGTCAATGGTGGAAGGTTGATCTTCTATGACTTTGGAATGATGGGGAGGTATTATCAATACCTTTTGCTTATTTTGTTCTCAACGGGGTTTGGATTATCCCAGCTCCTACAAAGGAAGCGGCTCTTATCAGTTCTACTTTTTTTTTTCTGTGCTATGTTATAGAAGAAGTTAGATGCTTCAATCTTTTCTTCTGTCACTCTGTTAAATGTCACTCTTGCCTGCATTCTTTGCAAGTCATGGCTGCAGCCATAAACCGTAGTTTTCTTCCTTTAAGCATGGCATAGGAACATAATTGGATTGGAAGCTTCCTGTGTGATGGGTTAAGGAGCTTTACTCTTCTAATTAAGTTCTTTTTGGAGTTTGTTGTGGTGATCTGCAACTTATCTTTTATAGCAAATTGCAGTATCAGTTCAAACATCCGTGAAGGTTTGCTGGAAGCATTTTATGGTGTTTATGAGAAGGATCCAGACAAGGTAAATTTACTTAAGATTGCTTATTGCTACGGCTCTGAATTTGTTACTTTGCCATATACATGGTCAGCTAAAAAAACTTTTTGATTAGTGCAGGTCCTTCAGGCAATGATTCAGATGGGTGTACTTGTGCCCACTGGAGATATGACAGCTGTCAGACGAACAGCACAGTTCTTCCTTAACAGGTGATTTCAATGATGAAAATTGTTTGTTTCATTTTCTCATTTACTTAGACGAATTGTCACTATTGGGTCTGATGCAAGTAAGGTCTAGTTGGTATATTTTTAATCTAAAGAAATTTATGATTGTTATTATTTTGTAGTTTTTAGATATTTCACTTAGATTTTATTTGGATTTAGAAATTTTGCATTTCCTTTTTGTTATTGCAGTATTTTCAATATTGGTTGTAACTTTTTCTAGATAAAGGCAGAAGATTTTATTGGGGGGAACAAATAAACAAAGTTACAAATCTGGATAATAAGACTTCCTCCTCAAGTAAGGAAATAAGTAATGGAAAACAAAATAAAGAGGTGGCCGATTATGGGCTGATGATAAAGGCTTCCCAATTACTGTGTAGCTATGAGATGCTTTTGTTGTGATAGAGCTTTAGCCCATAAAGATGCCAAAAGATCAGTTGGTCATTGAAGATTTGTTGGTTTAGTGCAAGCCAGATGCTCTAAAGCTCTGCAAGAATGGCCCATTGCCACAGGGGTTTAGCTTCTTCTCTCACTCCTTCCCCCAAATTTATACACATCGGAAATACTCCACATTTTGTTTTTTGGGGGGAGGCATCCAATTGAGGCCAAACAAGTTGAACATGTTAGATTGTAGCCTCCAAGCTATATGCCAATGCAAGAATAAGTGGGAATGTCTTTCTCATCCTCTATGGCACACGATGCAGATATTTGGAGAAATTGTGTAGGATGACCCTATTACTTAAAGGTCATATATAGTATTTAGAGTTTGTTTTGATTTGGTATCGTTCTCGCGGTTAGCATCGAGATAGTGCTTCAACCCTACATGTCTGGTCAACTGTTATGTCTTAACACATTCCGGAGAGAACTAGTTAATTCTGAGTTTGAGTAGCATTTCACACCTAACTACAACTCATCCACTAATTTTTCAACATTAGTTGATTTGGACCTCTACTTAATTTCACCAAGCCTTATGTTAGTCATAGATAAATTAACGAATATGGCAAAGAAATTGGAAGCAAATTAGTGTATATTCATTCCTATGAGACAATTATGTGGAGAGAAGGAAATATCACTTGGTGGCATGGGATGTGATTAAAAGGCCATTGAATCAGAGTGGTTTGGATGTGAAATATGGTCAAAATGAACCAATCTCTTTAGGACTAGTGGATTTGACGATTTATGAAAGAAAACGACATACTTTGGCAAAGGGTTACAGAGGCAAGGTTTGGTACGATGGATAGAGGGGGATATTCCAGAATTGTGGTTAGATCATATGGGATGGGATGTGGAAAAAGATGTGGGGGAAGGGGGATAAATTTCGAGAATGTATCAAATGGAGAATTGGAAATGAGGAGAGATTAATTTTTGGATGGACCATTGGCTCAGAGGGGGAACGCTTTGTGATAGGTTCCCACAAATTTTTTTTATTGCACGATATAAAGATATTTCTGTTAAAGAGTCATATGGAATCAGTGGATGAGATAGGGAATGGCACGTGGAGGTTGAGGAACTAAAATGACTGGGAAATAGATGAATATGAAAATCTATTGAGCTCATTCATTTTTGTATCTCTGAATGAGATTGTGGCTGGTTGGTTATGTTTGTAAATACTTGGCAAAAAAAGAGCCCATTCCTTTCCAGCAAATATGGAAGGTGAAGACTCATCTCAGGATAGCTTTCTTTACTTGTGAAACTGGTCGTGCATGTATTTTTACCTTTGGCAAGCTGATGAGAAGGAGAGAGACTATAGTGAACTATTGCTTTTTATGTAAGAGGGTGGAGGAGAATTGTGACTATATTTTACTTTGGTGCCCTCTTGCGTATAGTTTATGGTCTATGGCATATGAGCTATAAGAGATGAGATTTGGATATGGTTGAATACCATATTTTATTATTTTATTATTCAATTAGTTAATTATTTAATTAGTTG